GGGGGGGGCAGTGAACTTATCCAATTAAGGAGAAATAACTCAGAAAAAGAGGGTGAGAATGGCTGTACAACTTGAAGAATGCAGCCCATGTTACTAAATTATGTATGCTGGAACTGGTGAACGGGTCTATGTTCTGCTGTATATGTTGACAACAATAACTAGAACACAGAAGAAAAACTTTATAATTAAGCAAGGTGACTAAAAGAGGAAATGCCTGCTCTCCTTGTCCCTGTCCATACTAGACTCATGCTTTCCAAAGGGACAAACTATGTCTTGTCTGTCACTACACTCCCGGGAGCTTAACAACGTGCATGGCCACATGGCCACAGACGGTAAAGTCCACATTTGTTAAGAGCAGTATCAAAAGGATACATGCTTGCAGAAATGACTTCACATAAGAGGTGCTGTGATGTTCAGAAAGGAAAGGTACTGAGTAACCGTCCAAGCACACAACACAGGAAAGCGACAGGCAGGTGTTACTGACCAGCTGGAAGTGGGTGACTCCAATGGCGCATTTCTCATTCATATCCTTTTGGTGCTTGTTTTGTATCAGACACTCCATCAGATCTCCAGAGTCTATCTGGTTATCTGCCACATCCTGAGGAAGATAGTGCACATTTCCATTCATTTGTAACAAGTAATAAACAAAACCTGGATACCAAATTCAGGGATAATACAAACAGGACTCATTCTAGAGGCCTTGGCCAACAAGATCTATCCTAAGTTGTCTGAAAATAAGCCTGGGGTCACCACTGAGCAGAATAAACCTTCCATCACAAGCTACTCTGCATGAAACGCCAACAAGAACAGGCACTCAGCAGTGCTTGGGGTCCCTCCGTAGATGGTGTCATGCACTCTGAAGACTGAATACCCTTCCTTGGAGGATACCAACAGCGGGCATGAGAGAGAATATTGAACAGCCTCCTGGCTCCATACCAGCATGGTTCACAATGTGCAGTTTGTTACATGAATAACATAATAAAATAGACTTCATTTCGTCTTCAGATGGAAGAAACTGTTGGAAGGGAAACTCTGTTACTGGTAAAAAATAATGGGGGCTGATGTATCAGAAGCAATTCAGCTAAACTAATAGGGGTTTCCCTGCTCCATGTTTCCTTATTAAGAGCCAAAAAATAATTGCTGCCAACCATTTGCTTGGCAACCTAAAAAGGACCATCAAATAAGGCTGGTCCAGGTGGGTCACACCACTCTCTTGATGTTGTTTGCCTTTCACTTTAGCTTGTGGAAGCTCAGACGCGATGGACACTGAGGACAGAGACAGGTCCACTACTCTCTGGGATGAGTCCCAGTGACTCTGGTTCTGTCATCACCATTGTTTCTCCAAACATCACTTACGTGGCAGAAGTTCTGAATGATGGGCTCACAGGCTCTCATCAGCAAGGCTTCAATTTGAATATCCTGTGGAAGATTAAATATATTATTAATTCCGCTTTGGAAAGGGTAATGGTAAGAGCAATAAAAGTGGGAGGGAGAGAGGGAGTTTTTTCTGAACTAGTGACACTAGATATGTAAATAATATTTGACAGCCATTCTGATATTTAGAAGGATAGATAGAATTGGTTCTAGATTGCATTTTGAATAGCGAATGTCCCAAAGGCAGATTCCCTGCTTTCCTGAAAAAATGAGAAGGCAGGATTAGGAAATGGTGGGTGTGAAAACATCTCCCGGAAGTATTAAGAATATATAAATCTTACAGAGTTTGGCATAAATGCTAAGCAGTTAAAAATACAAATAAGTGAAAATGACCTCTGTCTTTAGTTTATCTGATGATAAGCCAGACCACTGCCCTCGAATCTCCAGGAGCAGATATGACATGCTTTCAGAAGAGTAACCCCTGTGACGAAATCATGTCTTCCAACAGAATTACACACCACAAGTGTAATTTAAAGTATTGCCAATTTTGACCATTCTGACTCATTCCATAAATCTCAATGGTGTCAATAGCCCCCTGCCTTCCACCATGCATCATTTCAAGTCCCTCTCCCAACATGAAACCTCTTCTGCCAAGGACAGGAAGCAGCTGTGCACTGGGAAAATTCACCTGGAGGGTTGGGGGTCTTTCATTAGGAGTTCTTCAACCAGCACATTTTCTTTTGCACTCTAGTTTTCAAATGTGTGTTGCCTTCTCTTATCTTCTGACATCTCCTCTCCTCTCCTGTTCTTGTTTTCCTCTTACGTATTTGAGTTTTCAAAGCCCATTTTTAATTATTTGAGTGGGCTTTAAGTTGGGATAAACATCAACAGATACATTCAATCTTCCGTGATTGACTGGGCATCACAAGTTTTATTTTATTTTATTTTTTGCCTAGTATTGCTTTTCATTAAATTAGTTTCTAAAGACTTTTAGATAACAATACAGCACCAAAGGAGAGTAGTTTATTTATATGGTAGAATCACTATGAATTACCATAAAAAAACCACATATGGTTCCATAAATATTTTATTTGAAACAAGTTTCATTTTTGTTAACACAGAAACCTTACCAAATGACCTGTCTAAAAGAGCGACCAATAAACGAAGAGGCATGCCCAGACTACTCTTGAATGTGAGTGAGATCTAAAGTACTGCTGTTTTTCCATATGGGGAAGGACAGCTGCTATCTTTTCTGAAGAGGGAAAAAAGGCATGCCTGTGATTACTCTAGTGTGCAAAGAAAACCACACCACTAATGCAAACAATACTTTCCTACAGAAAGCAGGAAAGGGATTCTGGAAGCAACAGAATACACTGTTCTAGAAAATAAGTGAGGAGAAATGACGAGGCTTCTTTTGTTCCAGAAAGGAGGAGATACGGGAAGAACCAAGGAAAGGCTGCAGACAGGCGCTCTACTCTCTCTGCTTACCTCGGACTCTAACTCTGTGAGGTTGCCAACTATATCTCTGCACTCCACAGCCAAGTCATCGAGATGGTCCTGGAGGCACTCAAGCTCCTGCAAAGAAAAAGGCAATCCCTTGGCATTTGTGTGCTACATAAATAATGAACCGGGTAGAAACACTAGTGTCTCATTCCTTTTGAATGGTTTTCTTTGGCGTTATAAGCAAAAGTACCTCACTGAATAAAGCATAAAGTTTTATTTAATTCTAGACACTGAGGTTGTTGAAAAGTCCTAGTGTAATAAGATCGTTAAGATGGGTAAGGGGTACAATAGCCATGCAAATCCACCAGTAGTCCACATCTCCAAGACCACCAAGATCCACCTTTCAGGTGTATTCAGAGTCGAAAAATCTAATCATTTACATCTTGTTATTTCATTGCTAGTCTGTGCTTGGATCTTTTCTTCCCATTTTAAATGTTGTACTTTAATAAGGACCTTACTGACCAATAGCACATCCACAGTGAAAGATTCTTTTACTGGGCAAGAAAGGTCAGGACCCAGGGTGTAGAATACAGTCACAGAGCTCCTGGCTCCTGCAAGTCAGATCTGTGATTCCAACACAAGCCACAAAAAAGGGTCCTTGGAAGGAAACTCTCAACCAAGTGATCACACTCAAACATGGGTCTCTAACAGCTATCGTCTTCACTGTTGACACTCCATTTTCCTCTGAGCAACCTTGCAGTAACGGTTTATTCCTATTTCTTTTAGAGCTTTGAAGTGTAACATCAGCTCACTTTCCTAAAGCTTGTCAATGGCCGTACGCCCTGCCAAGTGCTCTGTGAAGGATTAATTCAACTTATTGATTATGCTGCAAGAATTTCTTTGCTTCAGAACTAGAATGAGGAAGGAGGAAAAGGGCTGTAAGAATCCCACGACAGGGATAAACAGGCAGTGGGGAGGCACAGAAAAAACTCAAAGCACATCAGACTGTGTGATCCAAAAATGTAACAAAATCTATATATGATGAAAGAAAAAGTATCAGAGCACCCAAATGTGAGCACCCACTTTGTAGAAAGTTATGGAGGGCAGTAGGAGCTATTCAGTCGTGTGAAGCCTCTGGCAGAAACCCTCTGGAAGGAACTGAACAGATTTACTGCCAGACATGGTTGTAAATTTGATTATGGTGGATCAAATCCTGGTATAATATACTTGGTCAGTTGACATCCCTCTTGACCCAATCTGAATTTGCTCTAGGCTCAAATATTTCTCGTTGGTTCCATGACAGAAACTTCTCCTCTGGCTTTTTAAAGATTGTTGGTGGTCTTTTCTTTCTTACTCTTTATTTTATTATCTTTATATTATTATTTTCTTCTTTCTGTTTCATTTTGCTTATTATTGTTTCAGTTAGGTTTCCCAGTTTAAGATGCACAGAAGAATGTGCTGCATACAGACAATAACTGATACAATGGTTTATCAGAAAGGGAGAGGGAATTGGGGAGCAAACAATGAATGCGGGAGCGGGCATTAGAACCAAAGGTGATGATGTTTATACAACTTTTGCAAAAAGCAATTTAACTATGTAAGTGTATGATATATGAATGTTATATCAAGAAAATTACTTTAGTTAAAAAAACAATTCCCTCACTTAACCATGATGCTGCGGGGCACAGCACCAGAGACATGGTGCAGGAATAGTGCATGGTCTGGCCCTACCATGATGGGGCGAGGCACTGGGGCATGCAGCAGGGGGAGCAGAGTGATGAAACCCCTGGGGAATGCCAAAAATAGACTTGGGAGACAGAGCATGACACCCTATCAGACTCGACTGGAAAACACTTGTAAAGGCCAACAAACAGACCTTGAACTATTTATAGGCTTTTCCAATTTCGTCAGTGGCTTTCTTTTTGTTATATTGTTCTTGCTTTCTGCTGTTGTTGTTATTGTTTTGTTGGTTTTGACTCCCTTTGTTGTTTTATTTGGCTTTGCCTGTTTTTTGCACTTATGAATATATCTGCATGCATGTCTATCTACATAAGATAGGCAGGATAAATAATTTGGAGATGAAAAGAATGGGACCAATGGTTCCGGGGGGATATGGGAGAAAGGAAGGAAGGAAGG